ATTATTCAAGTTTTTTAACTTTATTTCGTATATTGACATCGTTTTACAATTCTTAGTATTCAGTTTTAAATTTACTGATACTAGTAAGAATAGAATTATTTTATTAGAAAAGAATTTCTTATAATTCTTACTACTGCCTATATATTTCTTAATCAATTAGCTCTTTTTATTAGAAATAATTTATATCATTATTATTTGAAATGTTTTATTATATGATTTATTTTTCTACCTCATTTTACTCACATGACTTCATGTTTTATAAATATTCTTATATACTTTTTTGCTGCTTATCAAATTATTGATGCATTAAATTGTTTCTTAACTCTATTTCATTTAATTCTTATTAGAAGCAGCACTAAGATGAATTAAAATCTATCCCATTTATATTGTCTCTTGAAAAATGTTAGTGAGAGCTTTATTAGTAATTTTAGTTTTGATTTTGACTGTTTATATTCTAGCTAGGATTATTTGTATAAGGATTTGTTTCAAGTGTAAAAAAATTCTAATTTTCTACAATAGCCATGCTAGCATCGCTTGGGTTTGTAATTAAAACTTTTCCAGAAGAGGTGAAAGTGTTATTGCTCCGTTCATCAAGTTATTTTGATGTGGTGGAAGTTTGTGACAAAGATTTTAAAATTTATTCATTGATTTCATTGTTTTCAAGAGCTAATTTTTTAATTAAGCCTTAAAATGCACTGTTCATTTAATTTAATTTGTCATTTAAATTTGAAAATTTGAATTCATTTGTTTTATTATTCTGCTACTGTTGTTACATATCGGCATTTTCTAAGATAAATTTTTATCCGCAAGGATTTATTTAGTTCCTTACTTAAATACTATTGCCATGTTTTTCGTCAAAATATAATTTATTCTCACTAAATTCTTAACTTTGTAGAATTAAAGGATTTTAAGTTGAGCACGTAGTAGTATCAACACTCTTTTCTGAATTATTAGCAAGATACTTATTGACTCTAGTTTACTGAGATTATTATGAGCTATTATTTTAGG